TTTGCTGAGTAGTTATAACTGAAGATATAATCCTTGGGAACTGAAGAGCTTTGTACATGAGGTTTTTTGTTTTGTTTTTTGCAGCCCTGGGGATTGTGCCCAGGGCCTTGCACTAATTAGGCAAGAACTATCACTTGAGTTTTGCATAGTATCTAAATCCCAGGGATTCTCACAGAACACAGCATTGCTTTACACAGTGGTCCTCAACCTTGATGCACATTGAAAGCACCTGGGAAACTTTAAAAACCAACTGATTACTGTGTCTCATCTTCAGAAATTCTGCTTTAGTTGGTTTAGCTATGACCTGGATGTTGGGGTTTTTTTAATTCCTCAGGTGATTCTTAAGTGCATTCAAAGTTGAAAATTATTATTCTCCTAATTTCCTAAGGCAGGTTCAGAATCTATGTCAGTCAGGATAGACTATAGAACAGTAACAAATTGCAGAGTCTCAGTGTCTTAACACAACAGAAGTTTATTTTCTGCTTGCATAATGTCTACTCTCGGTAACTCTGGTGGGAAGCTGTTCTTGTATTGCTGGTATTCCCAGGTCACTGAGGCACAGGAAGAAGAGCATGAGAAACCAAGCCCTGGCTCTCCCATGGTTTCACCTGGAAGTTACACCCATCACCTCCATTCTAATTCCATTGATTGGCGCCAATTGCATGACCACAACTAATTTCAAGGAGGAAGAAAAGGCAATTGAATGTGGGTGGACATTAGTAATGATCATCACCTAGAGCTCTTATTGCAAATGCAAGTGGAAGGGGAGGAAAAGGGTTTATATTTACTTTCAAACACTCATGATAGTGCTTATTACCTGCTAGGTATGATTTTAATGGCTTCCAAATAGGAACTCATTTAATCCTCATAACACCTCTATTAAGTAGGAATTTCAGTGTCCATTCTTTAAGAAGGGGAAAGTGAAGTTAAATGTCTTACCCTAGATCATATAATAACAGTGTAAGTGTAGGACCCAGTGGATGCAAGGGAATGGAGCAATGTTTGCATAGTTCACTGCTGGTGCTCTAGGGAGAGGCACACGTGAGGCTTGGGGTAGGGGAAGTGCAATGGGTTGATGCCACTGGTAATGGGACTAACATTGGAAGACAGCATGGAGAGGAACTTCTGGCCAATTTTGCTTTTCCTTCCTCCTGTCCCTCCACCAGAGCCACCATTCAGCATCTGTTGAGATTACGCCTTGAATCTGCACTGGGCTAACTCAGAAATAGTGAGCAGAATGGGGAGAAAAATCATTCCCTTAGAGAGTAATGGTTGGACCATTTATACATAAGGGGTCAAACATTATCATATATTTTTGAAAGTTGACGTATAATTACAGCTACTGTCAAATAAGCTATATTAAAAACTCCTCAGAGGAGAGTTAATAAAAGAATCCTTTAAGGAACCATAATAATTACAAATTTTCACTTCTTAATATATTAATTTTTCTAGGCTTCACTTTTATACTGATTCTTGTTAAACTGGAACACACCAGATCAGCTCCCTTTCATTCTGCTGAGTCTTTGGAATCAGCAAACACTTGCAGAGATTGGAACTCTTGTTTCTCACAGACAACACCTCTCTATTCACCATGCCTCAAGACACAGAAGAAAAGCACAAATGAACCTGCCTTGAAATGGAAGTTTTGCAATAAAATAAACAAACAGGAAGAAGCCCTTTGTGTGACATTGAAGCATTTTAACTCCTGACTGTCTCACCTGTTAAATGCTGTGGTTTGGTCACAACATATGGACTCTGTCTGAAAACCTTAAAATGCTGTCTTGGCACCTTGCTACAATCTGCCAGCACAGTCCTCAGGGCCAGGCAGTCCATACGGTGCTGCTGCTCTATTTTTCTTTACTGTGTTTTGATTGGGAGCTGTTGCAAGTTGTTGCCAGGGGTTTTTCTTCTCTCTTCTGCTGCAGAAGCAGCGATGGCGACAGAGATGACTGGATGTTGTTGACTGTTGCCTCGCTAATCCATGGTCAGGTTATTATTATTATTATTTTTTATTTACAAGGAGCTCTGGCTACAGGGTCAGGAGACCTGGTTCTAGTATCTTTGCAGAGTGCTCTGAAACACCTTGTCATCTTGGATAAAAGACACCTTGTCTCTGTAGGTCTCAATCTTTTCTTCTAAAAATTGAAAATTTAAGTGTGTGTAATTAAATGATTTGACACTTTTTGATTACAAGTTTTTTTACAGTGTTTAAAATAATCCAAAAATTATGATTCTATGTGGTTATTAAGGACAAGAAAGAGAGGATAAATGTCTTTTTAATTAAATCTGCAAATGGAAATAAATGGGGACATTCTACAAGTAATTGTGTGACTGCATCTTAATGGAGTCCAAAAGAGTTTCCTCTTTGGGAAGTGTGAGCTAATACACCCACACAGGAATGATTAGGAACGGGGATATTTATACTAGATGGGAAATGCTAGGAAGCTAGATTTTTTAAAATCAATACCCAGAGGCGAGATGTGGGCAGCTGATGATGTGCAAAAGAACATATAGATTTGAAATATTCCCTGTTAATGGTGATGATGGAATTATCATATCATGCTAGAATTCTAGGATCACAATCTGTGAAAGAACATTAAACAAAAAAGCTGTCTGCCCTCTTCCCCAGTCAACGAATGTCTGATTGGTCTAGGATCTTTTGAACACAAGTCATGTAAGACTCACCAGAAGGTGACAATTCAACTGTGTGTTCAAGATTAGGATGACAGTGTGGGTTCCCAGCTTTTCTCCCACTGACACGTAACCTACTAACATCTCAGAGGACACATCCCTGATGCCTGCTGGTCATAAGCTAACCACACAGATCCAATCTGTGCCTGAGTTCCTTGTTATTTAACTAAAGACACCCCAATGTATTTAAAAGACATTCTAGACATAGGGAACAAGCAACATCAGTCAAGGAATAGCCTAGTGTTATTCATCTGAATCTCTTAATTTTTTTTTTTCAAGAAATAATCCTAGCAGAACAAACTAGTTTTTCTTCATGTCAGCCTTGTGGGTTTGCTCAGCTGCCCAATCCCTGGGCTGGTTGGTGAAAATTTTAGAGGAGAGGGAGAAAAATGATGCAAGATAAAGCCTAATTCCTTGGTGTGTGTGTGTGTGTTGTGTGTGTGTGTGTGTGTGTGAGAGAGAGAGAGAGAGAGAGAGAGAGAGAGAGAGAGAGAGAGAGAGAGAGATTATCTAAAGGCTAGTAATTGCTAAAAGGGGAGAGGACACTGCAGACAAAGTCACAGGCCCAGAGGGGCTAAGAAGATGTTGTTAGCCCAACCTCAGCCCGGAGAGTCCCTCTGTTTCTGGAATCGTGACAGTGGCGAACATTTCTAAAGCAGCTATGTTGCCTCTAGCATATCCTGACCCAGCCAAAGGGAAGCACCCATCCAACTAATCTTTTGCCTTTGCCACTCAAGACTTTGCTTGCTACTAAGCCCTGGCTCTGCTTAGTCACTTTTTGTCCAAGGCTCTTTGACCCTGCTTATATAGTCATCCTTTGTTCACAGGCCCAGGTGGAGCCACCTGAGGGAAAGCGCTTTCAGCGTGTGCCATCTTTACCTGGAGAGCTTTTGCTACAACAGATCGTTAGACTCTATCCCCAGAGTTTCTAGTTCCCTAACTTTGGAGCAAAACCCTTAAACCTGCATTTTAACAAGTTCTTAGGTGGTGTTGGTGCTGCAGTTCGGGGCTACTTTGTGAATCAGTGCCTTAGATAAAAGAAGGTGCTTCACTTGGGCTCTCCTTTTCCTTTCCATCTCTCTTTGCCCCGTTCTCACGTGTGCATTTTCCACTTCTTTGTGGCAGTCCTCTGCCTTTGGACTGCTTCTAATGGCTCCGCTCCAGTCTCCAGCTCTGAATCTATAGGGGGCTTACCCTCACCCTAGCCTTGCGCAGCTTCGACCTCCCAGTTTACGCTGATTTTCCAAACAAACGCCACACTCCCTCCCACTCAGGACTGAATTCTTCATTTCAATCCAGTGAAATCTTTCCTCCAACTTTGCGGAAGGGATCGGGGCTCTCTGCTTGCTGCTTGCGCTCAGCAGCCGCCCGGGAAGCTCCCCTGTGCCGCTGCACGCTCCCCTGCGCGCGCCAGCCCCATCCCCGGGCGCAGGTCCATTCCGGGTGCCCGCTCTACGTTGCGCTCGGCTGTGTGGGGTAGCGCGGGTGTTGAAAGCTCCTGTGTTGGAGGCTTGGGGTGCCTTAGCCCGGAGGGGGGCGGTAGTAGCGTCAGGTGGCTGCTCTGCGTCCCTGCGCGCCATCCAGTCAGTTCCTACACTGAGCTCAGCCTGGGCTGGAGCGGGAGCCCATCGGCTCCTCTGCCCCAGGACCTGCGGCTGCGGGAGCTGCTGGGGCTTGGGACCTCGGCGGGAGAAGCCGAGATGTGATCCCTCCCTCCCACCCCGGACGTCCATTGCCTTCTCTGGCTCCTGCGCCTCCCACTCCCCACTGGACCGCGAGCGCTTGCCTGGATCGTCGGGGAGAGAGTCGCGGCCACCGGGCGCACGCCACAGAGGAAGTTGGGCAGCTGTGATCCAGCTGCATGAGAGCCGTGGGCTAGGGGACCAGGAGAGGAAGGCGCAGCCAAGGGGCTCAGTGCGCGCTAACAGGGACAGGGAGAGAGGGAGGCTGGGTTCCTTCTCCCTCCCCTGGGAGAAATGCTGAGCCCGCGCCCGGGCGCCCGCCGCCGGGGCCGCAGCCTCAGCAGCAGCACCGGCGGGACAGCGACAGCGGGGGCGGCGCAGGCGCACTGTGCCCGGCGGAGCCTGCAGTTCCCGAGCCCCGTGTGCGGCACCGCCACAGTCTGGGCAGCGGCGGCCGGGGGAGCGCTACTACCATGAACTGCCTGGTCCTCCTCCCCAGAGCTGCTCATCCGGGTCGGGCTGGAGACACAGTCAGGGGACCCCGTCGCCGCCGCCGCGCCCCCTCTTCTTTCAGCTCGATCTCCTCCACCTTTTCCTCCTCTTCCTCTACCTTCTCTTCCTGCTTCCCCCCCTCCCCCGCCGCGGATCCTGGCCGCTGCTCTCCAGACCCAGGATGCCGGGGGGCAAGAGAGGGCTGGTGGCACCGCAGAACACATTTTTGGAGAATATCGTCAGACGCTCCAGTGGTAAGGACAGTGGCAGTTCAGAACAACCCCTTCACTTCCACCTTGCCCACGCACACCCCCCATCCTCCCCATCCCGTCCCTTTCCTAAGGGGGGAGGGGGATGCAGGCAGCCTTACCTGGTGGCTTCAGTTACCAGTGGGTCCTGTTGTTTAGGTGGGTGGGGGACAGGAATGAGGTGGTAGAGGAAAGTTAGTTGAATCTCATTTCTGGGAGGTGTACTCCCCCTCCCACCTGTCCAGATCCCAGAACAGGAGCAAGGGAAGGCGGAGGGGGGGTGGCGGTGTGTGGTGTGGTGGTGGGGTGGGTAGAGTGGAGGTACATCCAGAGAATAGGTTTGAATTTGGTTTTGATGCTGGATGTATCTTTCTCCATCCTTTTTCCATTTTTTCCGCCCAAGTAGGCTGCAGGCACTGACCAAATTCTTAGAGTTAATCTCAAAGGAAGGGTTTCTTTAAGTTGAGAATGGCGGCTAAAGTGGCTACTTAATTAAGTCTCAGGAAGGGCTTTTGGCTGTAATGGACACTGCTAAAAGATAACCTGTGCTAGGGAGAATAGTTGGAATTGAATTTAAAAAAGAGTGTCAATGCTTGAAAAATGGGAAGGCAATTTATTAGGGTCAAATTTGTGTTTAAAGTTTCTTCTTTTTATTTTTCTAATTCCACATTGGTCTGTAGGACATATTGCATTTGGCTTAAACAGAGAAAATTTAAATGAAGCAGTAACTATTTTACTTTTTAATGCAAATGGAGAATAAATTTTTAAAATGCCATTCTACCTTGCTACTGAAATTAAGGTTTTCTTGCTTCAAAGTGTCTTTAAAATATTATCCACTTAAGCATGTGTTTCGTACAACATACTTTGGATGGGAATGACTACCTATTTCACATTTAAGACTGTTTAAACTTTTTGCTTTACTGAAATCTGTACTTCTACTTGTTTTTAATTCTTTTCTATAATTCATAACTTCCTAAGGAAGATATGTTGAGTATACCTTAAAGATCCCTTGCTTGCAGAATTATGAGAAAGATAATGGAGTACAGTGGACCTTAGAACAAAACAGTGGAAATACTGCACGCGGCTCCCTGGTTCCTTGTTTACCCAGTCATTCGTTGAAGCAACATTTATTTGAGTGCCTTATACCACAGACACTGTGTGTGTCCTTTGGATGAAAAAGTGATTAAGATACTTCCCCTGTTTTCAAGCAGGTCCTGCCCAGTGGGAAAACAGAGGCACACTGGGATGAAGATAATAAGATACAGTAATGCTTTTCTCTGGGTTGGTAGATTAGATGACCCTGACTCAGATTAGCGTCTTCTCTAAAGTCTTGCATATGCTTCCCCTGATTTTTGGGACTACATGTATTTGAGTGTCCTAAAGTGTTTTCCTGAAATCTCTGCCTTGCTATTTGGTTTTGAGATTTTGTGATTATTTCTTCCACGTAGCTCTATTCCTGATACCATAACAGGTCTACCAGTGTTATGCTTGGATTGAAAAAAAAAAAAAAAAAAAAGTAAGAGGGGTTGGGCCTAGTAGTCTTTTTAATCCTTGCAATATTTTAGCCATCCCGGTGTGATTTCATGTGCATTTTCAATTTTTATGACAATATAAAACATAAATTCATAGTGGTGGGCAATTTCTATACTCATGCATTACCTTCTATATTTCTATCACTCATAGATCTAGCAAATGAGAGGATACTGCTATTAAAACAACAATTGTTGGGGAATTTAAAGGTTATTAGAATCAGCCGTCTCAGATGTTAGTTTTACTCCACTTTTCTCATCTTCTTGGGTTATTTCAACTTCAAGACTTCTTGGTCTTGAGAGGACTTTTCAGAGATGGCTTTAAAAATAAAATGCCCAGGCTTCTTGTTGCTTTACTCGGTGAAGAGGAAGGGGATGAGAAACCCTGGATTGAAATTTACTAATGTTGGCATCTTTGGATGGAACTTTGTACATAGACTGGAATTAGGGGGTCAGTTTTTAGAATATGTTTTGTTTCAGATGTAACACGAAATTAAGATTTTACCTGATGTGGCCCAGAATAAGCTGCTTCTGCTGCCACCATTTTACATTTACCATTCAATTTAATGAATTTATCTTTTTTACACTCTGTGTGCATAACTGCTTCTTTGGCTTAATGTTTCTGTCCATGGATAACACCAAGTGTGAGTGAATGAAAATATATCCGTTTTGACATGTAAAAATCCCACCTCTAATTGCTTATGGATAGCTTTGAATAGCACTACTCAAAATCCCTGAGCTTTGTTTGAAATATGTTAGATATTTGAACATATATGTACATTTATGTGTTGTATGTATTGAATAGTCTCTGTACTTCTTTCACAGGAAATACCTCAGGATTGAGAATTACAGTATGAAATTGGTGTACACATTCATGTGGGAATATCCCACAGTTGTTTCTATTTGATTTGGCAGGGAAATTGAAAAATTCATCCTGAGAGATTATTTAATTGAAATTAACAGAGAAGATTCCCTTTAGGATTCTCATAGATAGATCAGGTTTGTCACATTGAACATTTCATTATGCATTAACTTAATAACATTGGAAGTGAAGTGTTGGCAGAGCTTTAGAGGGAAATGAAATTCAAGGACCCAGCACTCCCCATTGATGTAAGAGTTGAGGAAACAGCTGATATGGTTTGTCAACCTGTATCCCATGAAAAGCTTTGCTTTCTGATACAATATAATTTTCTTCTTATGAAAAAATCAGATCTTATAGTGAGAATCAGAAAAACATAGAAATACATAGAGAGGCACAGATGACAGGAAAGCATGCAGATAAACAGACAGACAGGCATCCATCAGACCCAGAGACAGGCATGGAGGAGGCAAACTCTCTTTCTCACACATGCAGAGAGGAAAAGAGAGCTACAGACGCAGAAAAAAAAAAAAAGCAGCAAAACACACACATGCATACAGAGAGGGGTATGTGTGGGGAACAAAAAGGACAAAAGAGAAAATATCAAGCATTTATTTGTATCCATGGGTAGCTAAAATATCAGCCAGTTAAAAATCCATCAGAGAACTTTTTGATAATGCAGAACAAAGGAGAAGAAGTATGGCATATTCTAGTATAGCTTTTAGACCTGAGGATTTCCTAATAAAGTTCCAGATTCCTCAGATGCAATTTCCCAGAATAACAGTGCCCTATTCTGTGCTCTAGAGAGCAGGTATAGCCCATTTGCTCTTGCTTTACACCACTTGAGATTGGATTTTTATTTTCCTTATTTAGTTGACTTTGTTATGGGAATGCAATGAAAGTTGTTCCTGGTGATTCAAAGTCTATAAAATAAAATAATGATGGCCATTGAGAAGGATAGTTACACATAGACTTTGTAGCCAAATCTTAAAAGGAGAAGCAGGGAATTCCTCTCTTTAGTTTTAAGATTAAGGACTTGTTTAAATCATTTGTAGACAAAAAAGGAATACAGTAATTCTTAGTATGTGACTGGCAAATATAGAGAACACATTGTTACTCTAAGAAGTTATAAAGGTCAAGAGTATAAAGGAATGTTTAGATAAGTTGTTAAAATACGTATTTTTATTTTGATTGACACATACTAATTGTACACGCTTATGGGTTACAAGTGAATATTTCAATATATGTGTATGATGTATAATTATCAGGTCAGAGTGAACCGCATATCTATCACCTTGGGCATTTATCATTCCTTTGTGTTGGGAAGATTCAAAATCCTCCCTACTAGCTACTTTGAAATATTGGATTAATTGTTGCCAACCTTAATTAGGTTTAGAAAAAAAAAATTCGGCAAGTTGGGTTAAAGTAAGTTATTAGGAGTGGAGAGTTTAAGAACTGTGGTGAATTTCTTCCATCCGGGCAATGTCACATGTGGGCTGCTGCCCCAAGTGCTTACTAAGTCTGTGTTTAGGCACTATTGGGATATCTTCCCTCATTTAAATTTTAATTATTTATGTAAGCTATTTGTCAATATAAATTGGGCAATAGGGAACATAAAATATATGAATAGAGGATAAATACCTAAAAGAAAGCAAATGTTTTTAGGACTTTTAGGTGGAATATTAGATTCGAAAGGCAAAAATTATTCAAGATCACTGTCTCCTAGGGCAGCACATTTTATTCAGATGTTGCCTTTGATTGCTTAACAAATAGGCAGAAGTGGTTATGTTGGGTGACAGTAAAGTAGTTTGACATTTTGAAAAATTATGTTATATCTTTTATTAGAAATTAATTTTTCATTTTTTTAACCACTAGGCAAAACTAGATGTGCTTTTCTACTTTTATGAAAAGCTAGAAGTCTTTTTTTTCTCTTTGAAGGACAAATGGCTCAGAAAAGAAGAAAACAGAGAAGGGAGTGTTTCATAAACCACTCATCTTTCAAGAGAAGCCCACTATCCTCAATTCTCCATGTTTTTGTAGAAATAGGTGGGTTGAGCAGGTGCTTTCTCTGCTCAGACATCTCTTACTAGTAGAAAACTCCAGAATTGTCTTCATGCTATAACTAATATTTGTGAAAACTGAACTCTTAAAAGAAACCCATAGGAAAGGAAACAGAACTACTGATGTAAAAGCAAAACAAAAAGGAATAACTTTTAAATATTATCCAATTTAAAAGAAATAGTGGAAAGCAAATGTTAGAAGTGGTTGATATATTTTCTTGAAATGTTTTCTGTAACATTTAAGACACTATTCAGGAAATACTGGAAAACCACATAGTGCTTTTGAAGCATCGGCGTACCCAGGTCTTATAATTTATCACTGTAACATTTAAAACAGCAAAGAGGTTGAAATTATACTGACCACTTCCTAAATTATATTGATGAATAAACCAGAGACTGTCTCCTGCATTGGAGCCCACACTGCATTATGTAATGAAGACAGTGCTTTGCTGGCTAGAGGGTTGCTTACCCCAGGACCCTGTTGTCTTCACTAGCATCTATATTTTGCTTCAGTCCAGAAGTAGAATGTGTAAGAAATCCATTTACTTAGCATTTTTA